GAACAAAAAAATTAATAATTATAACGTTATGAACTTTCTGTCTAGCTTTACGCACATTTTAGAGTAGCCGTGGCGACTCTTGATTCGGGCTTACATTGCATTACCCTCAGGGTAATGCAATGTAAGCCCGAATCAAGAGTCGCCACGGCTAATTTTAGAGGGACATTGTAAGTTACTATTCGCGTACCTTGAAGTGTGGAAACCTGGCCAGCAAGCTCTTCACACTGTCCACATTTCCTACTTGGGTGTCATCCACAACAAGCGGCATTTTCTGCAGATATAACGGAGAAAACACTTCAAACACACATCCACTAACCACTTTCTTCAGTACTCCGGTCATGGAGGTCAGAGGTGAAAAGTCAACATCCTGTAGGTCAGAGGTGAACATCCGGGAAAGTTGTAGTTAGAACCACGTGACCCAGGCTCTTCCTTTTTCCCTGGGACAAATCTCCATTGGCGTTGTAGAAGTGAGTCTCTCTCAAAATCAAACAAAATTCCGCACATTTTACGCCATTTATTTGCGTTTTTAGTATGCCAGTGTGCGCATAATATATGTTGGAATACGTAGACGTACTTCCGTGCCAATGTGAACCGTTAGCTTGTTATAAAATCACAAAATGGGCCGTTCAAAAAAATAACTGAGGAGGGGGGGTGGAAGAGGTCGGATTTTACCTAAGGGGGTTAGTGGGTGTGGATTTTGGATTGAGAGGGGTTCACCCTGGATTTGGATGAAATTATAGGGGGTCAAGTCGTTTGGATAACATTTTTAAGGGGTCAAGACACCTGGATATGGATGAAATGAAAGGGGGTCAAGGTACTCGGATAGTAATGAAAGGGGGGTCAGAAAATAGAAAATCCAAGCTCTTCCACCCCCCCTCCACATTTATTTTTTGGAACAGCCCAATTGTACGGCCAAAAATTCTACTCTGCCATGTGGCCAGCGCGCGCCATGCCATGGGTGGGGAGGGGGGCAATTTTTTTTCGACACGTGTAACAAGTTTTAGCTCAGTACACAAATCAATACCTTGGGTATCAAACGAATATATCTTGAAGGGTTCCCTTTGTCAAAATGTACTGTGTCAAAATGTATAAGTAATATTTGATCATAGTAAAACTTAAAGTGTGTTCTTCAGTGCTATCTGTGTGAAAAGAAAAAGGCATCGTCAGACGTCTGTAATAAAATATGTCCCATATAGAATTTACAAATTATGGTGTACTTGGTCGGTGATGAGTTCCAAGATTAGAGCCAATCCTCATAGAGCAAAGCTCTTGGATGATATTTTATCTCCTGAGACCAATACAACATCAAAAGTTCTATACCTCAAAGAGAATTAGAAAGGATTAACTATGAAACCTGTCGTGTCTCTCCAGGTTGTCAACCCTTGACTTGTGACAGCTCACCATGTCCGGAGGTTTGGATGCTCTCGCCCTGAAGGAGGAGGATGTGACGAAGTTCCTGGCCTGTGCCACCCACCTGGGGGCCAGCAATGTGGACTTCCAGATGGAGCAGTACGTCTTCAAGCGCAAGGCTGATGGTACGTCTCAACATCTCTTAGCAGTTTTCTTAAGAAACAAGTGTCCAGTACAAATACAGCGTTGTTTGGTCATTGATGAGTTCCAAGATTAGAGCCAATCCTCATAGAGCAAAGCTCTTGGATGATATTAGATCTACTGAGACCACCACAACATGAAAGTGCATTCACCTCATAGAGAAAGACAAAGGGAATAAGGTCATCTTCGGATTATTATCTTGTGATAAGTAACTAATGATATGGGGAGATGCAAGTTGCTCACTTCCATATTGGTATAAAACATACGTCCAACAGTATGGTTACATCAAGCCTTCTCCCTCCTCAGGTGTTCACATCATC